TGTCTGTCTGTCTGATTAAATTTTGAGACATTAATATTTAGTGACAATAGGAGAGGTTATTTTTGTTCATTTAGGACTGATACTTTACTTGAATATCTCAAATTTTTTGGAAAATCTAATTATATACAGTTTATTCAAGTATTTGCTGACAACACTAATAAATTTTAATGAGATGAAACATTTTATGCCCTGCACGGACTTACAGATTATGAGCTTTTCTTTTTTCAGGACTTAATAAAAATTTCTTTGAGTGAAATATCATCCAGTGGATAATGTAAGCTTTGAGCGACCCATACTTTTGTATTTCAGACACAGATTCATAATTAGATGAGTTGTTCTGTAATTCATATAATTATAGAACTCTCAGAAATGAGTAAACTAGACCCGACCCAAAAGGTATTCCGAGGACTTTGTTTTGTCGTGAAGCAGCGGGAGAATTGTTCTGTCATAGGATTAAAGTTCAATCATGGAGTTTCATAAAAGTACAAGTTGCTTTGAAATGCTAAACAAAGAACCAGCATGCAACTTGCTAGATACGATCTATTAAAAGAGATGAGTAACAGGAAATGATAAATGTCCTTTATGACTGGTACTTACATGCAGTTAATTGTTCGGCTCTCACTCTAATTTTTCAGAGACTATAAACGACATCATATGTATCTATGCCTTATTCCTTCTGTTGGGTTTTGTAGTTGGCTTTTTATAATTTGTTACGTGTTATTGTACACTGCAATTGTTCTTCCCTGCTTGTACGTCTCCCACTCTTTTAATTCAAGTTCTATTAAGCCTCTGTTTTCAAACAGCAGTGAGTGAAGGTGGACTTAATTTTAAATTACAAAAGTTTATATGTTGTGTATTTTAAATTCAGGACGCAAGAATTATTTATGTATGTCTGCCTTTTAATTGTGAATCATTAATTAGATTTAAACTTTTATGTTTTTACTTTGCTGTGTTTGACTCTGAGCTTGCTGTTCCATTGTGTTGTAATTTAAAGTAGATTATGAAAATAAACATGGAATTAAATTTTCTACTTTCTTTCCTACTCGACCCTCTTCTACCTGCTCTGCAGCTGTCAAGGTTTGCTTTTTCACTTAGACTATTAGACATTCTGTAGGACTCCTTTGTCGAGTGATCGGCTCGTCGCAAGGCCTCTACCTGTACACAGGACAGCATAACACAGAAAGACGTAGACAGACATCCATGCCTTGAGTGGGATTCGAACCCATGATCCTAGTGTCTAAGCACTCGAGGCTGACGCCTCAGACCACGTGGCCACTGTGACCAGCAGAATGAAATTTTAACCTTTGTTATATGATATTTACATCTGGTGTATGTGACCCACAGAGTCAAAAACTTTCCATGCTCAAATCTCATATGCATTTTATTAAAGTTAAATGTCTTACATGTGATATTTAGGAATCAAGGAACGTGAATTTTGGGGGTATTGATAATTGGTCATGGAATTCTTGCAGGAATTTTAAATTGGCCTTTCTTCTAATGAAATGAAGATGCATAAGTGGTATTTGTATTGAGCTTTAAAATTTAATTTTTCCTGTATTGCACCATGAATCCTCAGAATACTTAATGGATTGGATATTAAAATAAGCGGAGAACCTACTTCACAATGAGCTCATAGTTATAATAAGTACCTTGTTAAATTCTGATTTCCACTTACCAGAACTGAATGTCAGTCACTGTCTCAGGACGTAGACACTTGAACTGCATCAATGTTAAGGCCTATTTCAGGACTGTCTGTTATATTGCTATAAGATATAGAGATGTCTGCTGCCCAATAGGAAGTTAGTATTTTGCCATTACTATTTGTTGTTTTTTCTCCTTAGTCTTCATTAACGTCATGTTATGAATATCATCTAGCTTCAGAAGGGTCATTGTGATTCACCAAACTGATATTTATGAACTAAGTCAATAATTTGTGTGTCATGCTTCCTTGCATTAATAATTTACTGAGATACGAAGATATCCGTCTTCTGGGTTATTGCGCTGTGTAGTCTGGTCGATGTTAACCAACGTTTCAGAGGTCATACTGCCTCCGTCATCAGGGCGATGAGTATGAAGATTTCTGTCTTCTGGGTTGTTGCGCTGTGTAGTCTGGTCGATGTTAACCAACGTTTCAGAGGTCATACTGCCTCCGTCATCAGGACGATGAATG